GGCTATTAGCTTTTCTACGAACAGTCCTCCGTCAAGGTATATTGGCTCGTATCCATTTACTCTTCCTTTACACTTGAGAACTTTCGTTACTTCGTCTTCGACGATTCTCCAACCTGGCGCTTGTAATTCAGGGTTGACACCTTGTTGTACTCTCCTTACCCAAGCGTTTCTTGCAACTGTAATTTCTTCACTTACAAGAGGCCACGATCGCTTTTGATTTCGATGAACTCTTGCCAAACAGTTGTTTAGAAATCTTAATGCCCATGATGTTACTCGCAATGTACGCCAGTATGTATTTCTTTCTAACAAAGCGTCCCATTCGTCTGGCTCTCGATCTTTCGTAAACAGTGCTTGCTCTTTAATTGGTTTGCATTCTTGACTGACAGATGTAGTTACTTTCAAATTGGGTTGCTCTGGCCATTGTTCTTTCTCTAATAACCAATCTGGACCGTTAAACCAGCTTCCGTTTGCAATTTTTCCATGGTTGCTCCTCTGCTCCCTAGATCAGCAAGATTCTTATTTGACGGACAATATTTCCAAAGTGTCGCCACGCTTGTCCCAAACATGACCAAGAATTTTGCTAGGATTTGACATGTTCTCATCCTCTAATGTCGCGATGTTCGATTCCCACTTGTGAATCGGTAATTTTGCACTCTCAAGAATAACTTCACTTTCTTTCTGAAACTTCTCCAACTTATCAATGTTATTTCCCGTTTGCATGATATTGTCCACATACGTATTTTCTCTAAGGGCAGTCACTGTTTCCTCTAATTCTGGTGATTGTTGGTCGTAGTGGTATTCTAATGTAGCACCGAGTAAGAATGGGCTGGCTTCAACCCCGAATGGAACTCTGGCGAACCGAAAATGTTCCTCTTTTTCGTCACGCTCGAAGAGAAATCTGAAGGCATCTCTGTCTTCTTTGATTGCTATCTGTAAAAAGGCTTTTTGAATGTCTGCAAGAAGCAGATTTGACGACATTCTTGCTCTCACCATAATATCCCACAATAACGGTTGGAGGGGAGGCCCAGTAAACATACAATTGTTAATACTGGATGCTAGTGGATGGGGTTTGGAGCTCGCATCAAAGACCATTCTCACTTTCGTTGTCGCTGCGTCTTGCCTTACGACTGGCTTATGTGGCATGTAGTACACTCACTCTCCTGACGGCTCGTCTGGGGCTTTCTCAATCACACCGCTTGCTAATTAATCATCGATAATCTTCTCATACTCTTGCTTGAGGTTTTCGTCTTTCGCTAACTTTTTGTTCACGTTGAACAGTCGTCTTCTGCTTGGCTGTTCGTTTGTAGTTGTCAACTTACTCCCTGGAATCCATGGTATGCTAACTTGGTATCTGCCATCTTCTTGTCTGGTTATGTTCTCTCGAAACTCAGCAAGCACTTGCATTTGATCATTTTCACCACAGTCTTCAACTCCAAGAACATCAAGACTATATAACTGTTTGTAATCGTAAATTTCTCTAGTGAACATACAGGCATTGCTCGAATAATCCTCAGCACCATGTATGACCCATCCGAATGTTGTCTCCTCCACCAGGGGATCTCCGGGATTTCCTTTGTAAACTTTCTCAGTTCGGATCCTACTGTACGTGCCATCACCGAGTATGAGATGAATTGGATGTTCCCCTTTGGCGGTCATGTAAAATCTTTTGTCTTGAGTATGGGTGTACTTCATCTTGAGTTCATTCATATCTGGTCTCTTAACTGTGGTAAAATCTTGAAGTCTGGAACCAGTCAGTTCGATTTCTTCCTGTACTTTCCCATCAAGAGAAGTTATGGTTGTTTGGAAAATAGCCATGGATTGAGTAGAGGTACCATTCACGGTTACAATCTCGCGGGATTCATGATGTGTTGGATTCAAATCGAGTTTCTTCACAGCCTCGCGTGAAATGAAGTTTCGTCTTGAGCCAGTGTCGAGGTATGCCCACAGGGTCTGTCCTTTTATGTTGACAGGTATAATGGCTGGAAGCGATTTCTCCTCGGTTAATGTGGTAAATCCTGTTAATGATGTCTTGTTCTCTTGGTTGTCTTCATTCTTATCACACAGGCTTGTGTGATGTTTGGCATTACACTTCAGGCAACCACGACTTCGGCATTGATTTCCCCTGTGCGACCACAGTTAAAACACAGATTCTTCTCAGCGAAGAATTTCTTTCGGTCGGCCAATCGTTTCACTGTTTTGCATTGATCACTCCAGTGTTCCTTGTTTGCGCAAAAAACACAGTGAGGTTTTGGGGGTCCCGATGACTTTTGATACCAATGTCCTTCTGGTTTCTTGTATCTGGTTTCTTTGTGATTGCTCGCATCATCCACTTTATTCCGTCGAAGCCACTTTTGCAAATTCTTTATTAGTACTTCCATGGACCATTCTTCCCAGTCATCGTCCGCTCGAACCAAGTCGGGTTTTATGTGGGGCAACTTGTTGATTGTGGTCATAACAAATCCAGAAAGTTTTTCACTTTCTCCCAGAGTTTGAAGTGCATCGAAATTCTTGCTTAATTGTTCGTAGAAATCTTGAACTTTTTCATAATTATGTCCTCTTACTGGAGTTAAGTTAATTATGGCATCCATATGGGCGTTGATAACATGTTTGGGGTGACCATACTCGCTTTTTAATCTCTCCCATGCAATCTTGTAACCGATTTCACCTGGTTTCAAATTAGCAATCTTTTCCCTCACCTTTGGGCTCACCATTTCCAATAAAAACCCGTATTTTTCTTCGGCTGTACTCGCTTTTTCGTGAGCAAGTGTCAAAAACATGTTCTCAAATCGCACCCAATCTGTGGGGGTCCCATTAAACGGTGTTATTTTTAACTTTGGTAATTTTGCTGCAGATGAACGAGTGGTCTTTTCTATTTCTATCTTTCTCTGAGTCATGCGTAATTCAGCTTCGTGCCTTTCTTGCCATAATTGTCGTTCGCGTTCCTCTTGTGCTTCGCGAATTTCAGCTCGTCGTTGTTCTTCTTGTTGAAATTGTTTATCTTTCAATCCTAGCCGTCGTAATTCAGCTTCGTCATAAGCCTTTTCTTGTTTTTCCTTTAGTTGTTGTGCTATTTTCTCTTTGTCTTTGATCAGCGCTGCATATTTAGCTCTTGTTTCCTTTTTCCACTGTCTAACTGAACGCGGTGTTTTGCCGTTATCGATTTTCAACTCTTGTGTTTGTGAAATTAGCTCCGATATTTTGACAATTATTTTCCCAGCACGATTGTTTATAGCTTCCATTTCACCGTAATCTTTCGCTTGAATAATTTCATTTGTTTCTTCTAAGAAATACTTCAACTTAGAAATCTCTTTCTCAATATCTCCTTCGAGTTTTTGCTCACCTGCGTTTGTAATCTCGCTCGCCTCTTCGTCGCTCATAATGATAAATCAACAGTGTTTATTTCGTATTTCGCCGCTTTGTGTGTTTAATTTTCGTTGCTTTTTTCCTCTCGAATCCTGGTCACGGCACCACTAGTATACCAAACTCATTACTCACGTAACCTGCCATACCGAGAAAACGCATCACGTGTTTTTTCGACGCCGGTTGAGGAAACATGGAGATGGCTTCACTTGACCTTGCCCGACGATATGTCCTAAGTAGGTGACATGACCACATCCAAACTCACTCTTTAATAAATTGATCGTTAGCTTCGCGTCGCTGAGTCGTGTAAAGAATTTCCGCATAATCTTCAAATGTTCTTCCCACGTATCACTGTATATTATTACGTCGTCAATGTAACCTTCGCAGCCTTCGATCTCCGCGATAACATTATTTACCAGCACGATTGTTTATAGCTTCCATTTCACCGTAATCTTTTGCTTGAATAATTTCATTTGTTTCTTCTAAGAAATACTTCAACTTAGAAATCTCTTTCTCAATATCTCCTTCGAGTTTTTGCTCACCTGCGTTTGTAATCTCGCTCGCCTCTTCGTCGCTCATAATGATAAATCAACAGTGTTTATTTCGTATTTCGCTGCTTTGTGTGTTTAATTTTATGTCGCTTTTTTCCTCTCGAATCCTGGTCACGGCACCACTAGTATACCAAACTCATTACTCACTTAGTATAATATATTCAATTTCTCACAGTCTCACGAATCACGACATCACATGTGTAATTACATGTGAGGTAACAAAATGGCGAATTTTACACAACATTCCAATACTTCTCTTGATACTGCGATATTGCAAGTGATTATAAGACTTAATTAGTTTCTGGAGAATATCCATGTACTTTAACATGTTATTCGCTGTAAAGTATTTCCACATTTTCCCCTTAAGTGTATGATTGAATCTTTGTATGATTGATGCTTTCATTTCATTCTGAGTTGTAAAAAACCGAATACCTTCTTTCTTTAACAAGGCTTGAAATTTTCAGTTGGTAAACTCCGTACCTTTATCCAAGTGAAATGTTTCAGGTTTGCAGTGCTTTTTAAGAATTTTCTCAAACGCACTGACACCAGATTTTCAACCCACGCATACTTGCTAAGTACATCTATCACGGTTAAAATATATTTGTAGTTATTATTGTACTTTGCTAACAAATCCATAATTACTAGATCTGCCTCCCACTGTTCATCGATAGCTCCTACTATAACACGGTTCCACTTGAAACAATATCCAACAGGTTTATGTGGGGTATAGGTATCTTGCTTTCGAAGCCATGTTTGTACACTACACGCTAGAGTATTAATAAAATTGCTGTAGCATAATATAGATTATAAAACATGGCCAAATATCTACATACACTGATACACTTTGTAAGTCCAAGTTGGCACATAATTCCTTTAACTTGATATAAGCGCTCCTGTTTCAATGCATAAAGCAGATGAACAACTCATAAAGTGGCAGTAAATAATATGCTCATACTTTCTACTGCAGAAAGATTCTAGAAAAGACATACAACTCCAACTCCTGCCTTGAGATAGCAGGAGTTTGACTTTGGAAAATAGCCGTTTTGAGCATGCACAGGGCTAATAATCCAACCAGGATTTCTTGTCTTAAATAATGTAGCAACTCATGCCTTTGGCAGATAGCAGGAGTGACACACAAGTCACATTATTATCCGGAAATGGGTTGTTGTAGAGTTGCAAGTTGTTAGGTAAACAGGGCTGTAAAATTGTGTAAATGTAACAGAAAGCAGAAAATGAAAATAATAAAACCAGACAATTTACAATTAATTTTCAATGTTAAAGATTGGAGACTTTAAAGATTGGACATTTGAGACTTGGACAATCATTTCTCTATTTTGTGGAAAGTTTTAGTCCTGCTGAGCAGGACCCACTAGCTATGCCACTGATGAAGTCTGATCTGAAGAATAAAAATGCTAAAAAGGTAGTACTAGGGGGTAGTACTAGGGGGTACTACCAGGGGGTACTACCAGGGGGACCTATGCTGCCCATGCAGAATGTTTTGAAAATTAGCTGTTCCAGATTGGCTAAAAATGCATTTGCCACACTCTCCTCTGCAGAGTCTGAATTATATAGGATTTGTAGGGATAATGTAGGGATAGTAGAGGACATTTAGTGGTGCGCGGCGGGGGGGTGAGATCGATGGTTGACAAAATGTAATCAAGACTCTGCCATATAATGCGCGGTTCTCGGGTATATTGTGCGGGTCTCGGGTATGGCTGAAATAAGGCAAGAAAACGACTCTGAAAGCAGCAATGTGGACATTTTAGAAGTTTCTCTTCACAATTTAAGTATCGAGGGTAAGTTGAATGAATGTTATACAATATTTATGTCGCATTTGCTGGTATTGATGGCATGTTTTACATATCTGTATAGTGACAGTATACGTCATAGTATCATGGCTGCTTTGTTATTGTTTTTATCTCTCCCAAAATCAACAAATAAAGTTTAAAATACCACATTTGGTACATTGCCGGTAAGAATTATATAAAAGCAGCAAGGATTCACAAAGGATGGCTTAAATATACAATGGATTGATACAAAAGACGTTTGGTTGTAGTCGGCCCATAAAATGGCCGCCAGTACAGTGATGTTTTCCAGGGGGAACGCGGGGGAACGCCGTCCCCCCACCTTTTTTTACCAGGGGAATGGCGTTCCCCTTGCCAAAATCAAACATGGGGGAACGCCGTTCCCCCTGGCAGGGATTAAATATTAGCGAAGTTCAGTGAACGCCGTTCGACACCGTCCAAATAATTTTGGCTATCACTTGTTCTACATACGTGTTATTTGCCGAAATTTCTAGCAGACTAGTACAAAATAATAGTCTAGAGTCTTATGATTGACGTCCACTTAGATAGTTCACAATCAATTGTCATCAGCACGGAGATAACGTCAGGCAGCAGCCCAGCGGGATATAATTTGAATACCTTTTGCATGGAGTTAGCAGAACATGATACCTGAAAAACACGTAGCTTGCGCGGTAGATGTCAAAAAGCAAATAAAACCACGTTAACTTTCCAATTTCGATGATGCATTAGTGCTATGTGAGTCAACCAACTCGGCAAATAGGCAACTTTGCAAGTTAAATATGACGTTTTCACGAGTAACTAAATAAGCTTGGATAATAGATATCCTTGAATCTTTCCCATTCATGTTAATGTTCTTATTGAATCATTTTATGTTCCCATTGATGATTTTAATGTTTAATTTCGCGAATGCGTGAAAGACTATACTAATTTATAAAAATCAAGCCTAAGCCAGAAATTGTAAAATAGGTTGTTGAGCATTGTAGTTAATAAGAGATATGATTTCTAAAAGATCTAAAATCGTTGAATTCTTTACTGAAAAATCTGTGGAAGACATAATTTCAGAAGTTGAAACTGGCTTCGTAGCCATCCGTTAACCGTCATCCACAGCAATGTGACATATTTTGACAAGCTTGCCTATTAGACTAAAGTCACTAAATCCCCGCTTGTTTAATTTCATGGCCAATGGCCACGCCCAATCGAATGACCACGCCCATTTAATTTTCAAGTGCGTCCCCCCTCTTCTAAAATTAGCAAAACATCGCTGTGCCAGTATTGTGGTGATACTTATCCTTTAATATTTAGATTGAAGATTCTAAGCAGTGTATCCTATATTAAATACTTTGTATCTAGATGAAGAAGAGGGATGTTACCCAATGGCAAGTACGCCCCAAAAGGATGACAAGAAATCAATGAGTGTGCTCTGAATTGTCCAAATGCCAAAGTGAACCTGGTTCAAAAAGGCTTCACATATCAACAGTTGACACAGGTTTGTTCTTAGTTAATATTGAGTAGTCTCTCTCAATGTACATATTTTTTGTAGTGATATATCTAATCTAGAAATAGTCTTAGACTAAATTAAATTTTGGAATTCAAGGCAGCATCTAGCACCAGTTCAAAGTACTAATAAGTTCATGAAGTTTCTCTTTCACACAATAACAGTATGACGAGAATTGGAGAATATATAATTATAAAATTATGTTTATTCAATGTTGTATCAGTACACTGTTGGCCAGAAATCTTGCTGGATCCTCAAAATAATCAATTGTGATTGACTAAGAACTACAGACAATCCTCAATGTTTATCCACTTAAAATGACATTGAAAATTGCCTGTTGGTGACATGATTTTTTAATGAGACACCTGACAAGGTTTTCTTCCCTTCCATTATAATAACATCATAATTGCATAATGAAACAATTATTGAGTTTGGGTTTTGCATGATATCAAGACCGGTCAATGTTATCTGCCAAAGCCAAAAGTTGAGGTCTGGATAATTCTTGATATCATTCCTCATCCTTGTCCAATATGTAATTGTTGAATGTTTTTACAATAGACCTGTCCAAGGTTAACGACGCCATAATGAAACACAATAGTGCAAGGGGTGCAAACACAATGGAATTCCCTATAGGTCAATTTGCAGGGGGTGCAAAACACAATGGTGAAAACGATTGATTCAAGATGGCGTCGTTAACCTTGGAAAGGTCTATTGTATCCCATTTTTGTTTCTGCATCTTGCTCTCTCTATTTTACAAATAGAGCCTGACACAAACCTTGCTATCCACTCAAGTATATTTTTGTATAAAGTATCAAATCAAAATGTCCAGGGAGAAATGTCAATTTCATATAAAAACAACAATCTAATTAAAGTTACAACTTGCTAAATATATAATATTAGTATCATATAATTAGGATTAACCAATATTAACATAGTATTATATAACTAGGATTAACCAATCACAAAGATACATTAAATATGGTCTGATATAGTTGTGCTAGAAATAGCCAGTCAGAGCTACATCCAATATTTTGCACCTATATAATATGTCAGTTTGGATAACTCCTGTTTTTTTTTTAAATTTCTGTAGATATACCTAATGAATCAACTCAAACAGATGCTATTGTTTTGGCATCCAGGCGGGGTTTAACTTCCAATTTCCTCTCTGGGGGTGGTATGGATGTTTTCTGGAATGACCCATTAGCTTTGCCATGATACAGTATAAGTACATCAAATAAACAGACAGACAGACATATAAAGTACAAGTGGCAGGGTTACCGCAACAGAAATTGTACTCCCAATAACTGTGGGCCACCTTTGATAATATAAGCTACCAGAGTTCAGTGCATGTAGACATATATTCACACAAACATTACAAACCTTGGGTGGTATAAATGGCCATTTATTATGCTACCAAGAAGGCAACAACCTTGCAACAACTAGGTTCATCCAAGAGTTGCAAATTATAAAAAGTACACACTGTTCCAAATCAAATACATATACACTGGGGACACAGCAATGAATACACACTTTATAGTACAAACACTTTGTATTTTTATTAATCAAAAATAATATATTAATATTTACATACCATCTCTAATCGCAGATTCGACAATTGTTTCACTACGTGCAGCGTTTCACCCAGAGTGCATATGCTGTCATTGAATTTCAAGGGCGATGTTTATTTATATAAACTTTGAAACGTTTCTTCGGTCCAACATCGTCAAAAAAAACTTCACTTCCTCGTTGTTCTCAATGCGCTTTGAACAAACCAATTCACCACATACTTTACGTTTGCATCCTGAAACGGCCTATTTGTCTGCCATGAATAATTCATGAGTAATTCAATATTCTTATGTCTGTAATTGGATGCCATTTTGGAAATATTATATGGCAGAGCCTTACGTAGCTTCCATCTTCCCATCATACCTAGCGCGTTGGTACTAATTAAATTCTACTTCAACTATGTACATGCATATTCGTAATTGTAATTTTTTCAATGATGTAGGTTGATAAGAGGACATATCACAGTGTTATCTGTGATTTTGGTGTCAGTGTTATCTGTGATTTTGGTGTCAGTGCTTTCTGTGCCACAGCCTTAACAAATACTCATAAGAAGCCAATGCTAGGACGTTGATGTACCAGCATAAAGAGTCAATCAACGGTAAAAGAGTGGAGCCATATATGGATGTGTATGCACTTGGATGCATAATATTTGAAGTATATACATCCCAACGTGTTTGGCCAGACATAAAAAGTCCTGCACAGTTGATGGGAAATAATTTTCACAATGAATATCCACCAACAGCAAAGCTTGATGAACGCCCGCACATAAAGGAAATTGTAGATTCCTGCTTCAAGGAGCCAGAAGAAAGACTTGGAATGGACAAGTTGACGAGTTGTTTGGACGCTCTTGTCAACAAATAAAAGTACTAACATTTCTATCTCTATGTAAATTACTGCCTGAATGTAAATCCTTGAAAAAATTTGAATTGAGAAAAAAGTATAACTATTTATAAATACGGTATAGGTTATTTCCAGGCCAAGAGGGGTGTGTGCAGATATATTCATTGAAGGTGTTTAATAGTGGGGGAGCATATTATATATATATATAGTATAATTACATAGGTGATCATATGGTTGAATTTTGTTTGTGCTACATAAGTATTAAATATTATTATTGTTAAATCACTCCATGATAAGTGTCATAGTGCCAGTTGATAGAAATATGTCTAATATTGATTAAATTGGCAAGCAAATTAAGTATACATATGTGCTTCATTCAACAGGGTCGACGAAATGTGGAGTGAAGGCAGGAAGACGGCATCACAATGAAATGATGAAAGCTGCCAGTGCAATATGTGCAGGGAGTGAAGAAGACCTAAAGCCTAGTACCATTGGAGACACTGGAAAGAAAATGCAAAAAAGATGTGATTGATGGAGTAAGGAATACCAAGTTGCTCAAGGAAAAAGTATTTCCAATGTTATTTAAAGAAGATGTGAAGATATTTGAGAGATCTAATTCCAATGTGATTCGGTCTATATCGGTTTATTATAGTAAGGGAGTAATGGGTAAAGAGAAGTACAAATCAGTGTATAAAAGTAGTTTGTATATGCATGCTCCTGGTAAGAAAGCGACTGTGCATATTAAGGTTGCTAACTGCCCTGCCCAATGGCTTGTTCCCTACCACAGGTTGATGGCTTACATAGATATTGGCAAGTTGTATAGTGTTAGTGAGAGGTTTTGTGTTGGGTTGGAGGAGAATGAAAAGGTTCATGGCTGTTATCGAGATCTTGAAGATCTACTGGTGAAGCTGGCTGAGTTCTACCTTGATTATAGCCAATTTCAGGTCTTTGGATAAAACTAATAGTTTTTACGTTGCTGTAGGTGGTGATCGTGCTCCCATTTGGGAAAGATGATACAGCTTGCTCTTGGCTTGTAAGCTTCCTCAACATTGGACATGGTATCTTGAGCAGCAACGAAAACTTTCTTCTCTTTGGTGCAAATTGTTCAGAGAACTGTTTGCCTGTCAAGGGTTTTTTGAACGATTTGTTGTCCTCCATTAACAAAATTCAGGTAAAAACAACCAAAATATGGATGCCCCCACGGGAAGAGATGAACAGCATAGACATCGTCAACACGAGGAAGCCTTTGACTATGAGCCCAACGCTAGTGCACAGGACGAACAATCTGCCCTGCATGGGCAACTTACAAGCTCACAGAGCATGAACAGCGATGTTTCTAATGAACAATTTGCTAAAACTTTGTCCACAATGATCAAAACTATGGCCAACATGGCTGCAATATTGGGCCAAATATGGCAGCACATCAATTCTGGCGGGAAAACTGCAAAGGCCAAAAAACGACAACAAGAGAATCAATACTCCTCTGAGTCGGAGCGAGATGAACACACAGTAAAATGCTGTCGCTCAACTCATGAAAATGAGGACAGTCTTAGCTTAACAGCCAGTGATGACGAGGTAAGGCAGTAATTACCGAATGACAGCGACATGCCGCAACAACAAGACGAAAGTTTTGACTTACCCGATGACGACTTGCTTCAAGAATTGGAACAACAGTTCAGTGAAGACAAAAGTCTAGGGCCCGCAGTGGGGGAAAAACTAGCAACTATAGCTATTAATCGCTGGACTGAAAAATTAAGTCCTGACAAAATCAAGGAAATAAACGAGAAATACAAACAATTGCTAAACTGTGAAGCTATGCGAGTTAGCCGCATTAATCCAGAAATATGGTCTCAAATCAGCCAACACAAAAAGAAAACAGATCTTAGACTGGTAAGACTGCAAAAAAAGTCCAAAAAGGAGTTTTTGCCACGCTTCAAATGGCGGAAACTTTAAGCGTCAAAAATCAACCTTCGGCATTGACCAAGAATAAGAAAAGCAATGACCGCGAGGCATTACTTCACATCGCAGTGACTTTAGTTGCAATGTTGGGGCATATGAATGCTGATGTAATGTCCATGCGATAGGAGTCGATTGAACCAGCATTGAAACCAGAATTTCAAAAAGTTTGCCATGCTGCTATTCCGCCAAACTCAAAATTTTTATTTGGCGATGACTTGGCGAAACTGGTTCGCGACTCAGAGGAAACAAACAGCACTACAAGGACACTGACGCTGACAGGAAACACGAATAAATGCAATAGTCACACCTACAGCCGTGAGGATATTAACTCATATACGGGTGACAACCGTGGTAGAAATACATCTACAAAGCCTTTTTTATGGAGAGGCCAAAAACCATATCGCAGGCGACCCGGCACAAGAGGCAGCAGGTCTCAAAACCAGCAAAGGAAGTGAGTTTAGCTGAGAAAATATAAACACTTAAAAGAAAATGTAATTTGCAGTTATTTCGATTTTTCTTTTTTGATCCAATATCTTGAACAAAAATGTATAGATTTCAAAGCAGGCAGGACTGCTCAGAGGTTTCCAGCATGGGGAACGTTTTTGGGGTTTTCATAATTAACAGTTTTTATTGTATAGCAACTGACAATGGTATTGCTGATATTGCGCATGAGGTATTGCACAAAAAATATTCGTACGCTATTTTGAATTATCACTACATAACATTTCGTATGATAAGCTGTTTTTTAGTTCGAGTTACAAATAAATCACACTGTCAAAATGGACCAGTGTCTCTTAAATATCACCTTTTCGTCACATTTTGCCCATGTGTCTTCGCATTGACTTCGCAATTTGCTCATGCACCTGCATTTAGCATCGCATTTTGCATCGCATTTTGCATCGCATTAAGGCCCGTATATGCCCGAACTATTACATATAGATTCTGTTCAATTTTCAAAATCATGTTGGGTGCAATTTTGTGCGATGAGCGTATGAGCACATGCTCATAACTGCTCATGAGCACATGCTCATAAGGCCTGTTTAGGCCCGAAGACTTGGTGTACTTTTTTCGTGGAAGCCACTGCAACAAATGTATTCAATTTCGTATTCGCATGTTTTTGCCATTTTGGTTTGTACCCGGCCGACTCATGTAAAAATGACAAGACAATTAAAAAGCAATTTACAATTGACTCAACGTTACATGCTGTGTCTATACGGGTATGTTTACATGCTAATATATACTGTTCGAATGCATGACTTCAATCATGTATTTGACCTGTTATTTGAGTGTAATCATCATCATCATTCTCCTCATCAAATTTGTGACCCTTTAAAAAGCCTTTTTATAAGAAACTTTCTCATATCAACAGCTGCTTCTAACGCTTCTTCTGAATCAAAATCATCGTTTTCCACAAGTGTATCTTTTGTGTGCATAATCCTCTTATGAACTGGATCTTTCTTTAGTTGTTTCATCCACAAGAGACGCTCCATATAAATATTTTCCAGTTCCTTCTGGAGTTTAGGCAGAATATTAGAGCAAGCTTTGTCCTTAACGGATTGTTCATCTAGCCAGTGTTGATAAGATTTTCTTTCATTCGCTCAAATGCTATATTACTGCTTTGCTTCTTCTATCAACGGTATCCAAGGTATCCAGTCATCGGTATCTAGTCATCGTCGAAATTTCAGACACTTCAGTTGAAGTTGTCGAAACGTCGTCTTGAAAATCCCTTTTCTGGCTATCTGGGTCTGTTTGGGACATGTTTCTTTGTTGTGCACCTAGGGGACAGTATTCCTTTTCGTGTCTTCGTAGATTGTAACCATGATTAAATTGCTTTCCGCAAAATTGGCAGCTCATTCCATTAGCACTGACTGTGCAGAAATGTCTTGCTATTGATCAGTATTGCAGTTTTATGAGCAGATGAACATGTGCTCATACGCACATGACGCATGGACGTTTCTACGGGACGCCCGGGACTTGCTTGTGGGACACTTTGAGAGTGTCATACATGCGGGACACACAGGACTTTCTTACAGGATGCATTTTAACGTGTCCTTGTGTCCCCTAAGATCGCTAATACACATGCATATAAACTAACACACAGCTTAGTCTTTTAAACATCTTAATTCACACATAAGCTAATAAAGAAATTTATGTTTTAAACAAAATTTATTTCCCACCTTAAAGCAAAAGCTTAAACTCAAGTTCATCAAGAGATGCATCACGGTCTTTCCCAAAGTTTTTAAAATGTTTCCCGATGCGTGCTCAAAAGGGAGATAGAGGGGAAACACGAAATCGTACTGATTTGAAGAGCAAAATATTGTTGCCAAAGCTACCGCGTTGGTTGATGCATGCATAAATTAACACATGGATTAACGTTTTGTACATGCGATTGTTATATCGCACGCAAGAACGCAGATTAGTGTTTCAAACAATCTAATTCACATCACAATCAATTAGTCAACATGCAGTGTTCACACTTATTTAGTGGTGATATTCATAACTCGCGTGCCATCAGAAATTGTGCTAGACCCAGACTCACGCCGTACACAACGTCCATTGACCAGGCAATCCATAATTCAAGTGGTTCTGAAATTTTGCTTTTCAACCAAACACAAAAATTTTTTTGCAACATTGTTCCACTGGTAGCATACTTTTAACAAACTGAAAATCAATTTTGGAGGCACTTTAAATTAACGTAAATTCTCGGCTCAAATTTTCAACAACTTGTTTATAAAGTTGAAAACGTTTTACAAGATATTTTTTCTAGATCAATAGAAGCTTTCTTTTCCTAAAGTTCTGAAATAAGAAATCATGGCGAAATACACAAACCGAAACAATGGGTTAAAAGTTAACCCAGGGTTAGCGATAATTGAGCTTTCAACAACATGGTGCTTATCTGCTTGCTATCTTCTCAATTGTTATTTTCCACTATCGTTTACACAAAAACTAACGTAAAAGCTGTCACGAACCATTGCAAATTTGTCCTCTGACATCGCTTTCCTAAGTGCGACAATGCAAACGGAAACGCTCAAAGGCATTGTCGTGTGTGCCTTAAAATGTCACATACTTCTAAACAGCAAATCGACATTTGCGAAAGTAGGATAATTTTGTTGTTTCTATTTCCACAACATAATGAAGAGCACCCCCAAACATAAAAATAACTGACAATAAAATGAAGCAATGCGTCAACTGCAAATCTAACGTAATTACTTACAAACTTAAATATATTGTCTGTAAAGCATGTTGTTTATTCTTCATTTCATTATTTGATCGCATTGTAAGTCGGAGAAAAACCTCAGGCGTCCGTCTGAACCCAGATATAATCCAGACGATATAGGGTTCCTCATTCCATTGAGTTGTACAATTTGCAAATTTTTAGTGAGTGGAGCTGATATATACTCTTCAGACATTTTGTTGCAGCTAACACCGGTAGTGGCACTGGGGTTAAAGTGTGATTTCCACCCAAACAGCAACTGCCGTTAGACTGCCGGTTGGTTCCATTCTTGCATTAGTTCTTTGTGTACCAAATGCTACTGACAAAAACATGTGGGCATGCCACAGGCAATCTAACAGTAGTTTTGGTTAAGATGGAAACATGACCTACATCAACTGCAGAGTAAAGCTGTACCTAAAAATTATGTACCAATTTTTTATATCTAGTGTATATAATGTCAACCGGTGAGAAAGATGGAAGAAGGGTATACGACAAGAAGAATAGCTGCTATTATTGCGAAAAGGAATTTGGCAAGCTTGGTCAACATCTCTTCCAAGTTCATAAAAACGAAAAAGAAGTGGACAAAATCATCGCCCTCTATAAAAATGACAGAATGCGCCAGTTGGAAATGGATAAATTATGTCGCTTGGGTAATTTTAACCACAATTTGATGAAGGCGAACTGAAGGTAATGCAGAGACCTGCATACAACAAAGATAAAGACCCTTTTAATTACTTGCCATGTCAGTTGTGCCACAGTTTCTTCCAGAAGAACGACCTATACCAACACTGTCCAAAATGTCCTTTTGCTCAAGATAGAAGTCGGATGGTTAGGTCAAAGAAACTGCAACATGCAGGAAGATTGCTGTTGGCAGCAAATAAAATTCCAACAGGTGCTAGTCAACAATTGTATAACATGTTATCCATAATGGCAATGGATGATGTCAGCGCCGTAGTCAAAACTGATGAAACAATTCTGAGGGTTGGTTCCACATTGATAGAAAGTTGTGGCAATGAAAAAGCTGTGGAAGTCTTGCAACAAATGCGTACTCTTGCCCGTTTGCTCATAAAAGTTAGAGAGCTATGTTCAGTGCCAACTTTATCCCTTGAGAAGAGCTTGACGTCGACCCAATTTGACAATCATCTTCGCCAGCGCAAGATATCTCGGTGGATACACAGGTGCACCTAACACCCGTGCCGATCGTTTAAAATCCCCATCGACAGCTGCCAAATGTGGTTATGCCTTAAAGAAAGCAGCATTTGTAGAAAAAGGACAAGCCTTGCATGTGTAAACACCCCAACAACTAAACAGTCGGGCCCTGCAAAATTTGTCCTTTAAGAAACACAATTAACAAGCCACAACTTCTGCCAATAACAAACAACCTTCTGGCCCTGCGAACTTTCCTCAACGAGCAAATTTTGGAAAATTCAACTTTAGCAAGATTGATCATATTCAATAAACGCAGAGGTACCCAACCTTTTTATGTTAATGTTCTGCAAGAATATTGTTCAATGTCACAAATCACATGAAATTTGATTCATTGCAGAATTTATCTTCACTAAATTATTTTTAAAATATATTAAATGAAAAATCTTTATTAACAGGTGGCGAAGCTTCTCGAATGAAGGGGCGGCCTTTGTGGGAAAATGTTTACAATGAAGAAATTGTTTCTGCCCTTTCAGCCACTGAAAAAGAACTCTGCAGGTGATAGGTGAAGTGTAGCGATAACTTTAAAGAATTAAACTAAATTAAATTATAGGTATATACGTATATTCGTTCTGTTCGACTGCATATAATTCAAACAGAAACAGGAGAAATATTTCACTTGCAAACCAATTTTTTTAAAATACAGCTGATTCAGTTAAGTCTAGTTTAGGTAACGCCTACTTGCTTGAAAAGCTTTAAATAATGCAAAACAGGGCCGCTAGAGTCATCACTCATGGTAGCCAATGATAGAAAGGAAAGAAAACAAGGCAATATATTAGTGCATAAAGTTACAAAAGGTGAATATTTAGGAAAGATCACAAATATGTTCAAAGAGAAGAATAACGAATGTTACAATTTTTTGGACAATTTTCCTTAAAATCGCTTATTCGGGTGCAAAAATCTGGGACAAATTACCCACTGAACTTAAATGTAGTGATGTATCAGCACCAATATTTAAAAGTTTGCTTCAAAGCAGATCGTATATCAATTGTAATCATTACCTTGTATACATTATATAAATATTCAAATCAAATCAAATAATAATATATTCAAGATACAGTGATATAACTTATTGTGATACCACATGCAACACAAGTTTGGTCTTCAAATCATCACAGTCAACTCAACAGAAGAATTGAAAGAGTTCAAAGGAGAGCGACAAAATGGATGTTAAGAATAAAGACTGGTGAAATACCTTACAAACAACAATTAATGACATTGAAACTCTTGCCTCTCACATACGACAGAGAAATCAAAGATCTTGTGTTCTTCTACAAGACGCTGTATGGCCACATCGACCTTAAAATGGACAGTTATGTTTCATTCATTGAACATAGATGCACCAGACACAGTCAAGCTGCTGGTGTTGTGCTTCAAACACCCTTGTGTAGAACAACGACCTTTCAATCATCATACTACAACTGGATAATTAAACCATGGAACTGTATATGTAAAGACGTTCATCCAGATACATTCTCCAGTTCGATCTCCTTTAAAAATTATCTTAAACGTAAATATACCGAACTTGTTAAGTCAGTTTATGATGTAGAGTTATCTTGTACGTGGTCACTGGTACAGGACTGTCCTTGCCACAGGAAATAGTTAAGTCAGTTTGTCGTGTTTGTATATTTGTCTGTCTCTGTCTGTAATATGTTTCTGTCTGTCATGTAAAGGCTAGTCTCCATTCGGGAGGGTCTTCAGGATCGGGGTGGACAGGAAAGTTTTCAGTTTGTTTTGCGAGATTTCCTTTGGAACCTCTGCTTTGGAACTAAATCAATTTAATCAACACAAATGACGTGGACGTTGTGAATTTAACACAATGAAAGCTCTCCCGCCGTTTCTGTTCAGCAGGGGATTTTCCTGTGTGGAAACTGGCCTTTACCTTTACATGCATGTTTAATCTGTCTCTTAGTTTACTCGACATGTTCAGTTTCAGGAAATAGAGCCACGTTTACTCAAACTCTCTGAAGCAGTGACTATTTTGAATTTCGAGTCAACTATTCAGTTTAACTTTTTGCTTGCCGGAATCCTTTAGCGAGTTTGAGTTCGCGATGTTCTATTAGTTATCATGATTACTATTTTGGAGGTGGGTGGAGTCCCGTTCGTACCCTACCTTTTTGGATCTACATTTGATATCTAGGTTATTTTAACTTAATGTAATATTTGTTCTGTTATATTCTTTTGTTTGTTCAAAATTGTGAATATCGATCCAAATAAAATTTGTTAAATTAAATTAAAATCAGTGGCGTAGCCAGAACGATAATTGGGGGGGGGGCATATTCATATATTCGTGCTCACATACCATAAAAACAATTTATTTCAAAAGAAATTAATAAAGCAGAACACAAATATATGAATATGGGCCCCCCAATTATCGTTCTGGCTACGCCACTGATTAAAATTAAACAACGTTCCTGCAGGAGAACCGTGAGGTTGACTGTATTGGAGTAGTTCCCCTTACCTACACTTAGACTAAGTCTATGTTAAAATAATATTTATCATAATATTTATCATAATATTTATCATTAAAATATTTATCAAACATTAGTTCCTAAGAGTACATGTCCATATGCTCTTTCAATCTACTTTTAAAAAGTGAAAGCCTATAACAGCCTCCGCAACAGGCGCTGATAAAGCATTCAACAAATTAATAATTCTGACAAAAAAGAATGTCGAAGATCAGCACACCATTTTTACATTGGTACTACCCATACTGGCACAGACAGTTTTGGTATATTTATCCAAAGTTTGCATCTTGTATGAAACTTGTTGCCATTTTCATCTTCATTAATATCAAGAATTTTTGAAATTTTATGGAATAAAAGGTCAAGCTCTTGACTTATTAAAATCATATCTTTCAAATCGACACCAAAAGTGTCAAGTAGAAACTTTTGTTTCATCAGAACACTTGATTAAATGTGGTGTGCCACAAGGTTTTATTTTGGGACCATTGCTGTTCTTGTTGTACATCGATGACTTACCCAAGTGTCTTAAAATACAAGACCTCTGCTATTCGCTGATGATACAAACCTCATAGCCTCTAGTCACTCCATAGCTGACATTGAGATTGCAGTAAATTCTGATCTAGAAAACCTTACAAACTGGTTAATAGCCAATAAAATTAGCTTGAATGTGGCTAAAACAGAATTTATATGGATTGGCTCTGCACAAATGATAAGAAATGCTTCAAATTCTCAACCAAATATTTTAATTGAAAACAAACAAATCCAGCGAGTTAATAAATCCAGAACTCTGGGAACAACAATTGATCAGCATTTATCTTGGATGTCTAATACCGAAAATATTTGAAAAAAAAAAATAACATCAGGAATCTCAGCTCTACGTCGTGTCAAACATTAAACCAAATTATGAACAAACATGAGAAGAATAGAAGTTTACCGAAAGAATTTACTGCAAATAATTCAGAAGGAAAGATTAGTGATCCACAAACAATAGCAAACAAGTTCAATGAATATTTTGTGAATGTTGGACCAAACATAGCCAAAAACTCCAAAAAAGTGACAGAACTTATAATCAATATCTAACTGGTAGTTATGAAGATAGCTTTTTTCTCGAGCCCATAACTAAATACGAATCAGAAACTTAAATCCCAAAAGAGTCCTGGGTATGATGGCTTAAGTGTAAAAGTTATCAGGAATGTTACTAATGTAATTTCAGAACCTCTTTCATATATTTTCAATTTAACTTTTATTAGTGGAAATATTCCTGATAACTTAAAAACAGCATTAATCACACCAGTTTTCAAACCAAATGAAAACAATGAATTTAAAAATTATCGACCCATATCTGTTCTCACTTGTTTTTCAAAATTATTAGAAATGCTTCTTACAGATTCTAAAACTGGTGGATGATGACACCATTTTATCAATGACCGATGTCAACAGTTACTTGAAGGCGAATTTTTTACCATTTATTATATCTATGTACACTGGAGCAACAAAGCCTCTTACATCCTTTAACGACTTTTTCAAATTGCTTGTTCAAGCCATTGCTAAGTCAGAGTTAAAAAAAGACAAGGTGTGTCATTTTTTTGGGTACATTTCATAAAGTAAAATTTGCAGAACCGTGTAACACATATATCGCTCCGAGATACAAAATGTTTAGGGATGGCAAATGACTCTTCCAGAGGCGAGTAGCTGCTTCATGGAACTTGAAACTAACTTTTAAATGTTAATTATATCATTTTAGCTGTCAAGATGGTTCAAACTATTACTAAAGGGAAAGAAGAGAGAATAGATTACTTGGCGTTCGTTCTACCGACGGCGATCGACCTAATAGGACGAGCTGGTTTCGACAGGCCTAATTGGATAAATGTGCGAGATCTGGCACGATCTTTATAACATACGGATGTCAACCACAAATGCTCTTTTGCTAGAATGGACGGAAAAAAGTCATGCATAAAGGTCCCAAGAAGAATTCTTCCAAAAGAATGCAGTGATGAAATTGACAAATGTACAAAGTGCATACATTTTAAAAAGGTTTTCGATGATTGACTAGTCAGAGGAGGTATCAAAGAACACAATAAGAATACACCCTTTCGATAAATTACTTTATTATTAACTTTTTTGGCATAGAAGCTCAATCTCAACAAAGATGTTAAGGCAATTGACTCACAAATTATTAGAACAAGGTTTCCAAAAAGTGTTTAATATAAAGCAATTATCGAAAGGGTATATAATTTTGAAGAATAAATATTGCCTGTTTATACAGTCTCTCCATGTCATATTATGTTCAGGCTCTCAGCTCTTTTTATTCACACGAATTTCAACTGAAATTTTCAACTTCATGTACATACTTTAAACGTCCTGTACATACTTTTGCGCGTGTTTCCACAGGAGGGACTTGAATCTACCTAACTAGCTACCCAGGCGCAGATGGCCAATATGACTTATAATAATCTTTTTGCATCATGTATGTTACACATTATTCATTGACTAGTAGAAATATTATATGCGTGCTTTTGTAGTATCTGAATTGAAAAATGACGAAGACAGAGAAAGTAATGCCGACTTGATTGAAGGAAGTTTAGATGGTAACGATGACCACTGTGGCAATTGTTTGGACAACATGAACAAGATGGAAGAGCGATTTGATGCCCAGATACAAGAGCTTGAGGAAATGCATGATCAACAACTTTGAGAATTAAAAAAGAGCCACAACGAGGAAATCGACGCAAAGAGAGAAGCAAATGCAGGACTACGGGAAGAAATTGACCATTTGCGTAATAGACAAAATTTTGATCTAAACAAGTCTAGACAAAAATTTCATCACAGCTTGAAAGAGCATCACAGAATTAGTAATATTCCAAAGTTTCGTTGCAAAATGTTGTAAAATGCGGATAATATGGCCTTGCAAAAGTTTGCAATTTTCAGTCATTTTAGATTACAAACGGGAAATTGACAGCCTCAAAGAATATTGGGCTGTCAATTTGCCATTTGTGATCTAAAATGACTGAAAATTGCAAACTTTGCAAGGCTATATTATCCGCATTTTACAACATCTCGCAACGAAACTTTGGAATATTACTAATTTTGTGATGTTCTTTCAAGCTGTGATGAAATTTTTGTCTAGATCAAAAGTTAGTCTATTACTCAAATGGTCAATTGCGGTGCAAGAGAACGTTGAAAAGGAAATGAAATGCTGAATAGAATTTTTATCGGGTATGCTTCGTCAAATGGAAGCCAGAAGAGAGGAGGACACGAGGGCATCTAAAAAGGATGTCAGAGAAACAGCATGAAAGCTCAGTGACTATGTCTGTTGCTAAAATAGTCAGTAAGAACCTTTTTATATATTCCAGTCCGATGTAAACAAATGTTTGTCTGATAACGCTTTCTGGTCTCTATATATATTTCAATTTATCAACAAGTTGCAAACACGATTATTCAATTAATAACCAGTCAAATGGAAAACTTTAATTATATGAAGAAAAATTGACGGAAACTTCTGAATATTGACTCTCATTTCAATCACAAAACAAGGAATATATTTAATTGAACTTTATGTAATTGCAATCGTTAACGAATAGAGCCATATTATTCAAACTCAACGGTATATATTATACAATTACAGTAAGTTTTACAGTATAAGAAAAAAACGTAGAGTATATAAGTAATATATATAAGTTAAAAACATAGCAATTGAAAGCCGTTTTTACCCGAAATCTAGACCAATATTAAAAACTTCCTGATATTTTAATAAATTGATATTGTGTTATAAAAATTTTAGATGTCTAATTTTTGAATAAATAATTTCAATTTCTTATGCTACTATCTTAAAGCAACATGGAAAAAAATGAAGAAACTGAAGAGAGAAGTCTCAATGATGCAGGTATGACTGTACTAGTCATCCCAGCCTCGTCTCAGGCACTCAGATGTACTAACCCGTTTGTGTGACGCACACGCGAGAATCTATGTGCGTAGCTCACTCCTTTTCCACCGACGTGTGTCCTCCCGCGTGCACATCATGCAATATCAAAGCGCCTGGGTACGAGGCTGGTAACTATACCCATATTTTCAAAGTTTGCATGGGCATTATGCAAAAATACCAATTAATAATTTGAAGAAATATAAATATCAGTATGTGCTTTTCTACATGCATACAAATTATCACACTTTCTTCCCTGGCGAGTACCAGTGAGACAGCAGGTAAGAAACGTTCTTGTTATACTAGTGTGCCAGCAATAACTTTATCATTCAGGAATGATAGAGATACCACATGCAGTGCTGGCAAAAAACCTATGCAGTGCTGGTAAAAAACCTATACACTGACTGTATTGAAAAGAAAATATTTTGAAAATGATATGTAATGATTTTTGCAGGTGCTACAACTGTGACAACTTCACAAAAGAGACAAACATCCTGCCAACCAACCGATGTCAACAAATGCAATCTTTGTACCAAGAAGAAAACGATAGGCACGGTTATGTGTACCAGACGTCACCAATGGCAGCACTACTCCTGTGTTGGCTTGTCTTACAAGAGTGCAATAGCTACGAAAAAAACATTTTGCTGCAAAGACTGTATTCATTTGAACCATTAAAGTAAGAGCAAACTAGTTAATTTGTAGATATTTCCAAACTGAGATGTGATACTGATATTATACGACAACTGTTTCTCTTTAGTTTTCCAGGGACTGGTTGTACGAAAGCCGGATAACAATATCCACCACCGATAGTGATTTTCCACTGTTGTTATAAAAAGTCCAAAAACAACGAATGTGTACCTCTCAAATGATAAAATGAAAGTTTATTTTATAAACACTAAAGCTTAATCTGGATTAAGACAATTTTTTTGAAAAAATCGCTATCCGATGGAGTATTGTACTCTCTGGCCCTTAGTACAACCAGCCCCAGGTCTTTGAATTTAATGTGAACATTTTTTTACATCTGTGTTGGTGTAGTGTACTCAGGTGAATATGATATTTGTGGTGTTACTCTGAGTGCATATCCACACCGGGCGAGCTTGAAAAATATGCCCGGCCACGGTGGGATTCGAACCTACGACCTTTGGAATACTAGCCCAATGCTTTTCCAACTGAGCTACGCGGTCAGGATGGTTCGAGTAAGTGATATTTCGGAACAGAATCTAGTTCCTTCAATACCAATGTATTCTAGTAATATGAATTTTTTTCTTTGTTGGTGTAGTTTACTCAGGTGAATATGATATTTGTGGTGTTACTCTGAGTGCATATCCACACCGGGCGAGCTTGAAAAATATGCCCGGCCACGGTGGGATTCGAACCTACGACCTTTGGAATACTAGCCCAATGCTCTTCCAACTGAGCTACGCGGTCAGGACGGTTCGTAACACCACAAATATCATATTCACCTGAGTACACTACACCAACGTCAGAGTAACACCACAAATATCATATTCACCTGAGTACACTACACCAACACAGAAAAAAATTCATATTACTAGAATACATTATTGAAGGAACTAGATTCTGTTCCGAAATATCACTTACTCGAACCGTCCTGACCGCATAGCTCAGTTGGAAGAGCATTGGGCTAGTATTCCAAAGGTCGTAGGTTCGAATCCCACCGTGACCGGGCATATTTTTCAAGCTCGCCCGGTGTGGATATACACTCAGAGTAACACCACAAATATCATATTCACCTGAGTACACTACACCAACACAGAAAAATTCATATTACTAGAATACATTGGTATCGAAGGAACTAGATTCTGTTCCGAAATATCACTTACTCGAACCGTCCTGACCGCGTAGCTCGGTTGGAAGAGCATTGGGCTAGTATTCCAAAGGTCGTAGGTTCGAATCCCACCGTGGCCGGGCATATTTTCAAGCTCGCCCGGG